AATTTTTAAAAAAATTCATTCTATAATTTTTTTGTTTGCAAATAGAATTATATTGGATTTTTGTATAATGACTTTGTATCCTGTGTCCTTGCTGAATTTACCACATAGTTTTAATCACTTTTTTTTGTAGATTCTTAGTGTATTTTGTATACATGATCTGTCAATGGCAGTTTTACTTCTTCCTCTCCAATCTGTATGTCTTTTATTTATTTTTCTTACCTAATAACATTGGTTACAACTGTTATCAGTGTTGATAACAAGCAGTGAGATTAGTCACCCTTTCCTTGTTCCTGATCTAAGGGCGACAGCATTTGGTCTTTCATCATTAAAGGTGCTGTTAGGGTAGATTTTTTTCATAGATGTCCTTTATCAGGATATTCCCTTTTATTTGTAGTTTGCAGAAAGCTCTTATTATAATTTGATGTTTACTTTTGTCAAATAGTTTTGCTGTATCTCTTGAGATGATTATAGGGGTGTTCTCTTTTAATCTGTTACTATGGTGAATTTCACTGATTTTTGAATGTCAAAGCAACTTTACATTCCAGGGATTAATTCTACTTCTTCATGATACATGTTCCTTTCTATATGCTGTTTGGTTTAACTTGATCAAGTTCTGTTGAAGATTATTGTCCCTGTATTTCTAAGGGATATTAATCTGTCCTTTCTTTTCTTGTAATGCCTTTGTTTGGTTTTGATATCAGGACAATGATGAGCTTATAAAATAAACTGCTAAGTGTTTGCTCTTCTTCTATTTACCTAATGAGTTTTTGTGGGAGTATTATTTGAGTTAATATTTCTTTCATAAATGTTGGACAAAGTATACCAGTGAAGCTATTTGAACTTGGTGTTTTCCTTGTGGAATTATGTTAAATTCTGAATTTAATTTCTTTAATAGTGATAAAGTCTCTTCAGCGTTCCTATTATTTTTGTGTCAGTTTGGTAATTTGTGCCTTTCAAGAAATTATTACATTTAATTTACATTGCCAAATTCATTGGCACAAATTTAATCATAACATTTCCTTAACCTTTTAATGTCTGTAGGATTTTTAATAATTTCTCCTCTTTTATTCCTGATAGTGGTAATTTACACCTTCTCTCATTTTATCTTGAAGAGTGCTGAACTTATATTACACATAACAGGCTTTTAGGAACATTGAAAATACTGGACCACACTCTGGGAAGGGGTGTCACTTTGGGCTAGGCGTTTCTCTGTGGCCAAGGGCAATGCTCAGTTAGGGACACAGCTGCGAGCTGTTAGCAGTTAATTCCCAGCAACAGGGGGATGGGTGCACTGGCCCAGAAGAGGAGATCTTGGCAAAGAACATCATTATCCACTTTGGAAACACATTTTGAGTGTGAGATAAAGTTTGAGCAAAAGCAGTGTTAAATAGCAAGAGATCTGCAGAGACAATATGGAATTTGGCTTGATGGGGGCCAAGGGGCAAAGAAGTAAATGTGGAAATAGCCCCAGACAATGCCACCAACTTGGGTTCCCTGGGTTCCTAGAGGTCTAGGAAAGCAGTAATGTCTATCCTAGAAACAATGGTAAGTCCACCCAACTAATGATATTAACTTTATTTTCTAATGCTGTTATCTGGTGCTGATGATCACCTAAACCACTGGAAATGGATATTCATTATTAGTCAGTAAATACAGAATAAAATCTTTCAAAGCATGGGTCTCTGGTGAAAAATTAGTATAGGAAAACTTTGGTGGTAATGGTAAAAAGTTGAAAGTTACTGGCCTAGAGCATCAGGTGAAAGCATTTTCATTTAAAATCAGCAATAGGCATGTATTTCTAGGTTCTTAGGTTAGGGAGGTTAGGTTAGAGAGTAATGCAATTCTCAAATCTTAAGTCCAGAGCTGCAAATTTAGCTCTAGAAATGTAAATTCATGATTGCATATTGTGGACAGCTTTTAAAGAAAGAATTCTCTTTTCTTAAAAGTACAAAAACTCATTTCATAGAGCTTTCTTGATGTGATTTGAGTATCCACAATGCAATTATTCACAAATCAACCAGAAGTGAATACATGCGTGGAGTTTCTTAATCATCCCCCAGATTCTGCCCACCATTCTAAACGGTTATTTGTACATCTTTTTGCTCCTGGTGTTTGCCAGGAGCAGAGCCCATTTCTAGTATTAAGAGGGTGTCCTTGCTTTCCTCTTTAATTAAAATTCCTACGCTTATTGTATCAGAATCTGTTCACAAGAATATATGTTAAATTCAAAAAACAAATAGTTTAAAAAGATGGTCATCTGTTCTAGGTTGATTTGCAAGTTTATTAGGAATCATAACTTTAAACTATAGGAAAATGCAATTTTAATTAGCTGATAAATATAATTTCTTACAGATATTTACCGATCTAAATTCTAAGTGTCTTCAAAACAGCCCTCTGCCTCTCTTTTGCCTACTGGCTACTCCACCTCCATGGAGCTGTCTTCAGCACTGGCACATATAACAGGTCAGACTCACCACTTTCTCACCAGTCGCCGGGGATCCGTCCATGGAGTTCCTCCCAGAAAGGGCAGGCAGGAGAGGAGAGTGTGCACCATGGAGGCAGGGGCTGAGTGAGAGACTGAGCTGTGAGCAGTAAAACCCATTCTCCCAACCTGCCCTTTCCCTTGTCCTCCTTTGGTTCCACCAGATTCAGAGGGAACTTGTCCTGGGTGGGGAGCCTCCTTACTCTCGGAGCTGCACTGTAAATACATGAGAGGTTCAAAGGCAGGAAGGTAAAATGAGGCATGTGCACCATCTGAGCTAAGGAATGATATGGAGTTCGAGGGAAGGAGGGCAGGTTACAGAGCAATAAGCAGAGCAGATGTTTGGTAATTAGAGATTTGCCCTGCCACACAGATGGGTCTCTCAGATAAAACTTCTCTCTGGTAATAACTCTTATTCTGGGAAAGATCTCTAATTTAGATTTTTCTAGGTAGTTAAGGCAGAGGCACACGTTTCTCTTGAGTCTGCAGGGTCTCCACTGCCTTCAGCTTGAAATAGTCCACATGCCAAAGTGGCACATTTTGGGGCATTGTTCTCAACACCTTCAAGGTGCATGCATGCCAGTGATTATGCAAAGAGATCCATTAGGGTTTGGGAAGAAGATAAAATGGAAAAAAAATAAAAACCACTATAATGAGATATCCTGATTTATAAGAAATACATATTTGGTCATTCTGGTGACCAAACTATATTTCTCATATATATTTAGTTTTGGCCACAGTTCCTGGCTCACTGCTCCCCAAACCCTTGGGATTCTCTGAGCGATAAGAGAAAGGGGAGTGTTTTTTGTTATAATATTTTGCCTATTGTCCTCAGAGCCATAAAGGTCAAATGAGTGTCTTGCTATCCCTAACAAGCTCTTTCTCACCATGACTGGGTTTATATTAATAAGGCAGCTTTGGGACACACCTAAGGATGGGGACAGGTTGCCAGGGAACCAACCACAAATAGAGGGGTGGAACTTTTAGTCTCTCCCCCTGATTTCTGGGGAAGGGAGTAAGGATGAAGTTTGAGTTAATCAGCAATGGCCAATGAGTTACTGAAGCATGTTTATATAATGAAGCCTCTGAAAGTGCCAAAAAGGAGGGAATTTGGAGTTCCCAGATTGGTGAACATGTTTAGATCTGGGTAGAGAGGGATGCTTGGAGAGGGCATGGAACTCCACACCCTTTCTCCATACCTTGCCTTATGCATCTCTTCTGTCTGGCTGTTCCAGAATCAGATCCTTCTATAATAACCTGTGTTTAGAAAGTAAAATGTGCCCAAGGAAGGGGTGATGGGGTCCTCTGATTTACAGCCATTTGGTCAGAAGCACAGGTGACAACCTGGACTTGGGACTGGCAACTGCAGGTGGGGAGCAGCCTTGTAGGAGGGGATTGTTGGCATCTCCAGTCTGTAGTTGGTGGTCAGAAGTGCAAATGACAACCTGGGCATGTGATTAGCATTTGAAGGAGAGAGCAGTCTTTGTGGGGTCTGGGTGCTACCTCCAGGTAGATAGTGTCAGAACTGAGTTAAACTGTAGGACACCCAGCTGGTATCAGAGAATTGCACTGTGGGGAAACCCTATGACCACAACACACACACTGGAAATGATGCTCAGATCCCCTTTACACATACATGTACGCACACAAAATCATCCCTCAAAATTTCAATTTTTGTATCTTTTTTAATGTACATGCAAAAAAGAATTAGCATATAATAGGAACTGCTTGGCAATTATAGCATTTGAGTTGTAAATATCCTTTAAGAGGATCTAGTTCAGGATTTCTATACCTGGATATACTTCAGGGAGCTGGTCACTTTAGAAATACGGATTCCTAGGCCACATCTCAGACCTCCTGAATCAGAACGGCATGAGAGTTAGGGAGAGGAATCTGATGTTTAACAAGCTCCTTAGTTCATCCTGAAGCAACCCACCCATGACTCTTTTCCACTGAAATTTAACCCCCTCATGTTCTTGAATAAGAAATCGAGGCCCTTGCAAGTAAGGTGACTTGTCAAGAACACAGTGCATAAGTAGCAAAACCCAGACTAGGCCTATGTCTTCTGTCTTCTAATCCCATGCTCGTTACATCCTCATTTATATGGTTGATTTTCAAGCTACAGGAGTGGTTTTCTAGAGTTTCCCAGACTCTCCCTCCTCTTATTCTATCACTCCAGACACTTCCCAGGGGTTTATTATCTGTGGAAAGATATCCAGTATGATGTCATTAATATTGTTGCGAGCAGAATCATGCTGAAATTGAGAAGGTTCAAGCTGTAGCATGTTATGTTGCACGAATGGCTTGATTTCCAGATGGATCTCACAGGAGCAAATTTCAAGCTTACTAAGTCATGTCAATTGTGATTGAAAAATTCAAACTCATTTGGGTTTTTGTAGATGTAAGAAACACAAAGGAAGGACCTCTAAGGAACCTATTGTCAGCATAGATGAGTGGACACATGGTGGTCCTGGCAATAAGAAATAGAGCATTTTGGGGAAGGAATAGATTGAGAGAGTTTGCTGATAGAGTCGTTATTTATTTCTGTGGAACAAATCACCTCGAAATTTCGTGACTTCAAGCATCACACCTTTATTATCTCAGTTTCTGTGGGTCACTATGGGTACTGCTTAGCTGAATGCCTTGGACCCCATGCCTCTTGTAGCTGCAGTCAAGGTGTTGGCTGGGGTTGTGGTCTCTGCTGACTTCCGAGTTTACTCATATGATTGTTAGAAGAGGTGAGTTCATGCAGGGCTGTTGGACCGAGGGCCTTGGGTCCTCACTGGCTGCTGGCCTTCCTCAGCTGCTTGTAGGGGGGCCTCTCTGTGGGGCAGATCAGAACATGGGGATTGGCTTCCAGCAATGTGAGCTAGAAGGACAGAAGGAGAGCAAGAAAGGGCAGGCGAGATGGGATCCAGGGTCTTTCTGTATCTTAATACCAGAGATGACATCCCATCACCTCTGCCACAATCTGTCTGCTAGAAGTAACCAGTCTAGCCCACACTCAGGTGGGGGGTTATCCACGGGTGTAAGAGCCCGGAGGTGGCAACCCCTGGGGGCCCTCTTGGAGGCTGCCGACCATGCTTGGGGGAGGCCTAGGTGGAGACACCCAGCAGGAGCTTGGACATGTGAATTCCAAGCTCTAGGGAGATACCTGGGGCTGGAGATACAGATCTGGGGGTTTGTAGCATTTTATGAGCAGGAGGTAAAATCATGGGACTAGGTAAAGTCAGCCAGGAAGAACATTTTTAAAGATATCCACTAATCAGTCACTTCTTAGAGAAAATTCAGATTGAAAGTAAAAACAAAAATGTGTAGAAAAAGATAAATGTTACTAACCAAAGCCATTTGTTACCTAACTCAGGGTCACAGACCGACCATGAAAATTTGGGTTAGGGCATGTGGCATTTTCTGGTATGAGCAGAATATTATTAAGATCCTGGAAAAGCTTGTTCTCCACAAAAATTCCTTAAAATAGGCCACTAATTAAAACCCAGAAAGTCTCCTGATTAAGAAAAATAAAAATAAAGTCTAGTTCGCCCTCCATCAGCTTTAAACTACAGATCCAATGGATTTCACCATTTCCAGTAATTTTTGGGTGAAAAGTATTATAAACATTCATAGAATATGATTAATCATAGTCATTTGAAGGCCTACTCCCTTAGGTCCATAGTACCCCTCCCCTCCGTAAATACCCAGCCCAGGGTGTGTCGGAGAAGCCTTGGGAACTAGGAGTGTGTCACACAGAAGGATGGGAAACACCTCATATGTCTCCTTTGGCCTGTGACCTTTCCTCCCTCTGTGCCTGTGCCTCATGTTCGTTGCTTCCACCTGGATGTTCTCCCCAGATTGTTCTACACAGCCAAATCCTACCCTCCCTTCAAGGCTCTGCCAAATCCCATCTCTTCCACCAAGTCTTACTGACTGGAAAAGACCATTCGGCCCTGCTCCACCCCACCTCTGTCTTCTCTGGAGTCCTGTTGTAGTGCCATCCATTTTGGAGACTAATCCCCAACTATTTTCTGTGCTTGCTCTTCTTACTCAGAAGTGGTTGGCCAACTACGGCCTGTGGGTCGAATCTGAGCCCCCTGCCTATTTTTATACAGCCTGCAGGCTAAGAATGGTTATTGCATTTTTCAACTGTTGATAGAAACTCCAAAGAAGAATCATATTTTGTTACACATGAAAAATATATGAAATTGAAGTTCAATGTTTGTAGATAAAGTTTTATGATTATCAATAAAATACTTGTGAAAATTTGTTCCATTTTGCTTCTCGGCCCACAAAGCCTAAAATATTTAGTATCTGTCACTTTAGAGAAAATTTGCTGACCCCTGCTCCAGGCACTTGATTTCTTTTTCCTGAGAGAGGGCAACCCTTCGGGGAGGACACAGTACTGACACCTCCCCGGTGGCTTCAGTGTTTGGTAAATACTGTTGAATGGAGCTGAGAGAGAATGTGTTTTTAATTTGTGATGGCTACAATGTTATGTCCTTTCTTGCTGTCCAGACCTTTTCTTCGTTCTCCTCTGCTGTTGGGCTGGTATCTGTTATGTCTGGTAGGACAAATGACAGGGAATACCAGGGTGGGTCACACAGCTCATGGCAAATATGAACAAAATGAAGTCTGGGAACCAGAGCTTTTGTTTTGGGTGGAGAAACCAAAGCTGTTTGCTTTGGGGGATTGAGGTAATGAAAGTTATTTCAATAACATAATTTAACAGTTGTACATGCTTTCTGCCAGAAATACAGCTAGGCAAACCTCACCCAGGGGCCCTATCTGCAAAATGCAAAGGTTAAACACCACAGCACCAAACAAATTCTCTTTCCTCTTCAGTAGAACACAAAACCATACACACACCTTGATTAGACTACATAAACTGTACCATATGGACAGAGACGAGGGGAGAACAGAACACGTAAAGGTGTGTTAGGGTGGTAGGATACGGAAAAATTCTTTTTTAAGAAAACTTTTCTTTAACATTTCTGCAACATATTCTTACATATAAAACTTCTGAAGATTAAAATTTAAAAAAACCTTATTCCTTTTCTAGCATGTATAAATCTTTACCTGTTTTATTTTTCTCTTTTTCACCTTTCCAACTCACAAAACCCGAATTTCACATTGAAGTGGAAATTTCTTAGGATTCTGAGTATAAAAATAGGCAAACATGCACAACTCTTCCCTAAAAGGAATAGCTATTATATCATTCTAAACTGCTCTTCCTTAACTGTTAAGCTCTCTAAAACTGTAAAATGGAAAGAGTATTGCTAACCTCCCCCTTAACACAGCACCTGCACAGCCAAGGCTTAATAAACGGCAGGTGTCACTGTGTGGCTCCCTTCCAATGCCTTAGACCTTCTTATTCTACAGGCAGGAATGGCCCCTCCTTAATAGTTGAAACCTCAGCTTCTGGCACAGTATCTGGCTTACATAGTGCCTGGCTTACAGTTGAAATTAGTTAAATGAGTATGTGAACTAAACAATAGTGGCAGTTAAAAAAAGAATGAGACTTTCATAGAGGCATTCCACTATCAAGCAGGCAACTTAATTCTACCTTCAGTTCTTTTTCAAAGTGAAGATCCATTGATTCATATCACCTCCCAAGAGGCACACCCAGGCAGCGCAATGTACCAGGACTCGGCTGTGGCTGGGGTGATTTAGGCCTTTCCTTCATACACGGAGTGATAAGGAAGAATGGGAGGAGGTTTTCATGTTACCACCATATGCCATCTTGAAAGGAAGTTTGTTCATTCATCTTGGCATTCAACAAATACCCTTTGGGCACCTGTGATGTACAAGGAATTGTTTTATGTGATGGGATGTGACTGGGAACTAGAAACTGAAGCAGAGAGGCAGGGAAGTTGACTACAACAGCTGTTTTGATCCCTTATTTCTTGGGGAGATCTTAGTGACTGCAGCATGAAATAAAGGCAGCTCTCAAATAGGAGGCAATATAATTTCAGCTTGCAATGACACTCAGAAGATGAAAGCTTAGTTTTCCAGAACACACTAGAGAATTGTTTTAGATACTGAGAGTGGCTCCAGTCTATACCAACCCTAGATCTTGACTGAGATTTTTGTGACAGATAGATGGCTTAATGGTGATGCAATGGAAGTGTACTTGACTTGTTAAGGGCATGGTTTTGAATCCAGCCCTGGCTCTAGTACTAGTTTTATGAATTTGAACAAGTTTCTGGACTTTTCTGAGTACAAGTTTATTCATGTGTAAAACTGAGACAGATGTATTTTCCCTCAAGTATGTATTAGTTATCTATTTCTGAAAAATAGATCACCCTAATAATTAAGTGATTTAAGACAATAATGATACATTTACTCTTGTGTGTTCACTGGGCAATTATTCTGCTGATCTGCAGGACTCACATATGTGGCTGTATTTAGTTGGTGGCTAGGTGAGAGGCTCACCTTAGCTGGGACATAATTTTTCATTCTGGACATCTTCAAGGCATGGTCAGCTCAGGGCTACATCTACAACTCAGGGCTACATCTTCAGCCAACAGGGGCTGGAGAAGGAAGCTGCCTGGTCTTTTAAGGCCTAGCTTTGAAAGCCACACACTACTCCTTCTACCCTATTTCTATTGGTCACAGGAAGTCACAAGACCAGTTCAGATTCAAAGGGTTGGGAAACAGATTTTACTTCTTTATGGAAGATGATGGGAAATATTGTGGCCATACATCAAACTGAAAAGCTTCTGAACAGCAAAGGACACCAACAGCAGAACAAAAAGGCATCCTACAGTATGGGAGAATATGTTTGTAAACAACATATCTGACAAGGGGCTAACATCCAAAATATATAAAGAACTCACACACCTCAACACCCAAAAGACAAATAACCTGATTAAATAATGGGTGGAGGATCTGAACAGACAAATAATGGGTGGAGGATCTGAACAGACACTTCATTTTTGGAGTGTGAACACACTCCAAAGAAAAAATTCAGATGGCCTATAGGCACATGAAAAGATGCTGCACATCTAATCATCAGGGAAATGAAAATTAAAACCACAATGAGATATCACCTCACACCAGTTAGGATGGCAAACATCCAAAAGACAAGGAACAACAAATGCTGGCAAGGATGCAGAGAAAGGGGAACCTTCCTACACTGCTGGTGGGAATGTAAATTAGTTCAACCATTGTGGAAAGCAATATGGAGGTTCCTCAAAAAACTAAAAATAGAACTACAATTTGACCCATAAATTCCACTCCTAGGAATTTACCTTAAGGAAACAAGATCACAGATTCAAAAAGACATAGGCACCCCTATGTTAACTGCAGCACTATTTACAATAGCCAAGATAGGGAAGCCACCTAAGTGTCCATCAGTAGATGAATGGATAAAGAAGAGGTGGTACATATACACAATGGAATATCATTCAGCTATAAAAAGAAAATAAATCCTACCATTTGCAACAACATGGATGGAGCTAGAGGGTATTATGCTCAGTGAAATAAGCCAGGCAGAGAAAGACAAGTACCAAATGATTTTACTCATTTCTGGAGTAGAACAACAAAGCAAAACTGAAGGAACAAAACAGCAGCAGACTTAGAGACTCCAAGAAGGGACTATCTGTTACAAAAAGCAAAGGTTTGGGGAGTGTGGGTGGGGAGCAAGGGAGAAGGAGATTAAAGGGCATTATAATTAGCACACACAATATAGATCGGTCATAAGGAAGGCAGTACAGCATGGAGAAGACAAGTAATGACTCTATAGCATCTTTCTATGCTGATGGACAGTGACTGTAATGAAGTGGGTGGGGATTATATAATTTATAATCAAATTATCATTGATAATATGGGTGAATGCTGAAACCACAATGTCGCTTATGTGAGACCTTCATAAGATTATATATCAATGATAACTTAATTGAAAAAAATACAGCTAGGAAATAGAAAATTAAAGAAAAAATTATCCAGAAGACCAACTGAAATATGGATTAACATGAACCAGCATCAAAATGGAATCTCATCTAACGTAGGGATGTTTTAATATTAGCTACAGCCAGTATAAAGCCATCATAATTAACAAGATTAAGCAACCAGAACTATAATTAATAACCTTTCTTAGCAAGGTAAAGAAGTTCTGTGCTGTTAATAAAGAAAAAAGTTAACTGTTAAAAATACATATTGTGGCCATATTTTTCAATATACCATAAGGTCATGGTGAGGATTAAATGAGATTATATATGTGAAAGTATTGTTTTCTGATATAAGTAGGTATGGTTTCATATACACATTATATTTTTGTCTTTGCAAAATTCTATAATACTTGCTAAGAGTCAAAGCTAGTTTTCGATGAGCTAGCTGGCTGTATTATGAACAATCTATTTGCCACCATCAATGGAGGAAATTGGGGCTATATAAGAATCTAGTTTACTCATTTCATGAAGTAGTGTTTTAGTTTGCAATGAAAGACCTGATTTTAGAGTATGCTTCTGAAGTTTTGGGAATGTTTTATCTCAGGAAATTCTAAGCATCCTCGTAAGTTCTTGAAGTGATGTAAGGGACATCCGGACATCTTTTGTGTGTGTCTGCATTCATGCCTTCAATTTTTGGTGATAGTGTTTGGAGCATCCTTTTCAAGGCATGCATTCTTGTCAGGACCATCCATCAAGACGCTCTGTCATTCCCTGGCCAGGATTGTGGGCAGGTTCCTTAAGTTAGGCAGGTCAATTGGACCCTAGCCTTTGGGTTTGAACCCTGTTGGGTTGGTAGAAGGACCAGAATGGTTAGAATCTATTCACCCAATAGTATCACCCTGAAGGAGTTCTCCATTTGTTTTTGCTGCCTCTACCCAGAACTGCACGAGTCCCACTTTATCCCAATGGCATCTCATAATCTGATAATGCTTCAAGCATTTTTTTTTTGCTTAAATTTCCGAGAGTTAGTTTTTTTGCTTGCAGAGAACCCTTGCTGATAGAGACATTTATTCAGTAGATAAAAAGTAATTGAGAGAGTAATCTTGAAGCTAAAATGCCAGAAGATTCCAGTTGATTAAGCAACAGACAACAGACTAGTTATCTTTTGTTAAGAGTTTTCAGGTCACTGTACAAGTTTCCTTGAACAAGGAATGCAACCTTGTCCTTAAGGATCCATAATCCATAAGAATCCATAATCCAGCAAGGGAGAATAATTTTACACTAAATCTAGAAAAAAAAAATAGTTTGCCATATATAATGAAATCCCAATCATCAGTGCTTAACATAGGACTTGGCACATAGTAGGTATACTATAGTTATGTATTAAAATTAATAAATTTATTAAATGGATGATTCAGTTAATACGTGCAATGAAGTTCGAAGCAGAGAGAGGCATCATGAACAAAACTCATGAACGAGGAGAAATTTGAAGCAGATCCTCTTAGGATGGGTACAATTCTTTGAAATGAAGAGGAAGAACAAGGAAATTCTAGCCCGTGGACTTATTTGATAGTGTTATAAACTGTGGTAAGTTTAAAGAGATGCTCTTGATGCTTATGGATCATCTGGCATCAATAAAATCTTATTGCAAAGACATGGATTTTTTTTATTTGTTACTGAAGATTGTTTACAGGTAGGCACACAGTTTTAATATATGTTGATGGCCTACATAATGGGAATACTTCCTACATATTTGGAAGTACATTTCCCTCTCAGCAATGAGGTCTCCTTTCCATCCCTTAAACTAAGGCTAAGCCATGAGATTTACCGACCAAGGAGTGGAGTATGTGGCCTAGAGCTCCCTGCAGTATGAAGAGGAAGTAGAAAGTCTTTTCTCTGTTGCAGTAAGGGACTAAAGAAAAAAAGAGGAGGAAAAAACAAAGGGGGCAAAGGCCAGAATCAAGCCATTTAATTAAAATTTCTTCCTTGGATGTGAAAACCTGGAACCCAGTTGAGGGTTGCATTAGGAGGAATAGAAATGTTCTGCAGTGCTAGAAGGGGACTTGCAGGGCACCAAGGTTTGCTCTTTGCTTTGTGAGCAAAAGCCTCAGAAAAAGCCCTGTGTTCAGTTGCTGCTGCCCAACATGATACTCAGAGAGAGTACAGAGGGTCTCACATGCTGCTAGAATATAGGGAAAGCAGGCAGTGTTTCTGGGCTCCCCAGAGGGTGCAGAACAGTCCAGAAAACTGGTGTGGAGGACAAAGCCTTCCTGGGTGTCTAACAGCCTGGCTTCTCCTGAGTCATGGTCCCTCTTCTTAGGCCCTTTTCCCAATGTAAAAGACCCTCTTACCTCTGCCCACCTGGGGAGCTTTAAAAAATGGCCACAGCAAGGCTTTCCTCCAAACTATTTAAGTCAGGACCTCTGAGGGTTGGGTCCTAGTGTCAGATTTCTTTTAAGCTCCCAGGTAATTCTGTATAGCTAGGAGTGGAAACCAGTTCCCTAAGTAAAATCCAGTCATGTGTTTGGACTTAAGTTAAATCACTTCCTCAGGATCAACCCCCAACTTAGGTCAAGTACTGCCCTTATATATTCTTGAAGCAAGCACACAGTACTTCTCCTTGGCATTTAACAATTGGGTCATACTTTCAAGTTTGCCTTTCCCTGGAGTCTATCAGCTGTGTGAAGGAGAACTATTTCTGCCTTGCTCACCAAGGAGCCTGCTTTAATCATGCACCAACTTAGACGTAATTGCTGCTCAGTAAATACATCTTGCATGAGTGATATCCTTTACTCAAGGGAAGGTGTGTGATGGAAAGCTCCAAGGCATGCATCTGCTAAGAGAAGTTTTGCAGGTGAGACTTTAAGGCAGACCACTTACTTATTGGACTACGGGTTTAAATGGGTTTTTGTTTTGACAGTTTCAATGTTTTCAGGTATCACAGAAGTTCAGCAGGCACATTATCACCATGTAACCCTGTGTAGTCAACATTAGTGCTCCCGTCTTGCAATGGGAAAGAAGTTAGATAACTTGCACAGGTCCCTATACCGTATTATCTGGCCACAAACAATTGCAAACAAGGAAAACCCCTTCAACAGGATTCCTGTTTGTGCTGGGCGCTTATCTTATTTCTGCTTGATAGCTGGTGGTTGCTCTATGGGGATTTTCTGGGGGTCTCCAGATCCAGCGGCCAGGGCGCAGGGTGCTATTTCCTGCCCCCCTAAACCATTGCAGGGTGCAGACAACGCCCACCTTATCCAGATAAGGATGCCATAAAGACTATATTCTCCAAAGTCACTGTGCCTTGCTGGTCCTGGAGAAGCGGCCGTGTGTGTGTGTGTGTGTGTGTGTGTGTGTGTGTGTGTGCGCGCGCGCGCGCGTAGGGTCGTCTAGGAGTAGCCCACTCTTAGCTGTGGGTTGGGGAAGAGTACCATCCCTTCACCGCCCGCATCCCATATCCCAGGTTCCAACATTCACAGGCCTTTTGGTCAGAATCCCACTCAGACTCTTCGAGCATCTGGATTCAGCCTGGGTGGCTTGAACCGAACCTCAGAAGAACTGCGCCTCGAGTGGGCTCTCGACGGCCGGGCGGTGAGCGGCAGGGCGCAGACGCCCCCCCGCGCCCGCACTTCAGCCCGGGCCGCGGCTGCAGCCCGCGACGCGTCCTGACCCAGCCCCCGGCCTCCCGCCTCCGCTCCGTGCCGGGCCAGAGAAGGGCAGTGAGGCGGCGCCGCGGAGGCGCGGGCAGCTGGGACGCGCTCCTCTCGAGCCGGGGCCGCTGGGGCCTCCGGGGCCGCGGTCTCGGCGCGCGTTCTGCGATCTCGGGGCAGGTGGCACAGCTTTCCGCGCCTGCCGGGCTTCCCAGATCACCGGGAGGCTAATCTCGGGTCTAGACCGCCAAGCCGCAGAGCCGGCGAAACCGCTCCTCCACCTCTGCCCGTCCCCTCAACTCCTCACCCCAGAGCGAGAAATGCCCGGCCGGGCAGGACCGGAGCACCTCTGCCTCCTCCCCCTGCGCCGGTCCTGCGAGCGAGGGAGGCCCCGCGCCGAGGCGGTGGCTGGCAAAGGGGAGTGGAAACGAAGGATGGATGGGGCCGAGGGGTGGGGTGGTGATGAGGGGGATGTAGGAGGGGGTGTCATTTTCTTTTTCTTTCTTTTTTTTAAAAAAGTATTTCTCTCGCGAGAAACCGCTGCGCAGACGATATTTGAAGAGGTGGGGAAAGGAGGGGGCCGCGGGAGCCGCCGCAGAGACTGTGGGTGCCACAGGCGGACCGGCGGCCGCAGCTGGGACGGCTGCGGGCGGAGCGGGGCAGCGGCTGCCGCGGCCAGGAGCGGGGAACAGCTGCCGCCGCCTCGGGAGCCGGAGCCGCCGCTTCTCCAGTGGGTGCAGCCGGGGTCCCGACGGGGGTCGGGCGGCCGCCGGCGCTGGAGTTCCAGCCACGGAGGCTTTGCGTTTGCGCCGCGCCGAGGGCAGGGACAGGGACTGGGGTGAGGGGCTGTCCCGGAACGTCCACAGCTGGCGCCGGCCCTCCCCTGCCTGACAGCTTCCTGGCCCGGGGCTCCCGGTGCCGGGCTCCGCGTCAGATGCTCCGGGGGTGGTGGCAGCGCCCGGAACCGGCCGGGGACTGCGCGGCGGGCTTCCAGCCCCGCGGCTTGGCGGAGAGGACAGGCTGGGGAGCTGGGGCGTTCAGAGCGCGTCGCGCGCAATTCGTGCCATTAAAAAAATAGACCCAGCGAACTCGCCGCGGGGTTTAGAAGCGTTCGGGACATGGATACTTTGCGCGGCGCTTTTCAGGAGACGTCGGGAGGCCGAGGGGTTGGCAGGAGCCGCTGCTGCCGGGCCCTGTGCTTTTCAGCCAGCTGGGGACCAAACGGTCTTCACTTACCCAAAGTAACTGCGCCACGCGCAGGCGGCACGCGGGTTGGGCTGGGGCTGGGGACCCCGAGGCTTCAGCATCCCGAGGTCCTGAATGCCTCTCCCGCCTCGGCGATTTGTCTGTTGCAGCTGGCAGGGGACGCCTGAAGTGGGAGCCGCGCCTGGAGAAGGCGGGAGGAGCCCGGCCCGGGGGACGGGCGGCGGGAGAGCGGGACCCCGGCGGCGCGGCGCGCTTCAGGGCGCAGCGGCGGCCGCGGACCGAGCCCGGGGCGCGGCGAGAGGCGGCGGAGGCCGGCGGCCGCGCGGCATCATGCGGCCGGGGGGGCTGCTGGAGGTCGTCCTGGGATTTACCGTGCTCTTAGCGTCCTACACGAGCCATGGGGCGGACGCCAACTTGGAGGCTGGGAACGTGAAGGAAATCAGAGCCAGTCGGGCCAAGAGACGAGGCGGCGGAGGACACGACGCGCTTAAAGGGTAATGGAACGGCCCAGCTCCTTGGGTGCGGGTCTCCCCTCCCTCTTCTCCCGACTGTCAAGATCCAGATTCTCGGCAATAGAGGATCGTTGACAAGACTTCCCGGGGGCACCTTAAAGGCGCAAGGGTTGCAGTCCTCCTCGCGTTCTAGGCTAAACCACCTCCCTCCTGTTCTTGAAGGATTTCTGCCCCAGAGGAGAGGTCATGGTTAAAAGGAATCTTGGGCCATTGTCGAGGCAGATTTTGGGAGGCAAGAAAGGTTTGAGGAAGAAGGGGAGGAGCTGCGACTGAGAGAAGAAAAACCCATTCCTTTCCTTCAAACCAATTCCGGTTGTATTTAGGGAAAGTGCTTGCCTTGCGGGCATCTTTGCGGACGCGCTCTTTGTAAGGGAGCATGGAAAGAAGGGATTTCACTGACAGTCAAAGACACAGTCACTGGTTGCCTCTCCTCTAAATTATGCTTATTAATACTAGGGACTGAGTTTTTGGGTGATACTTTCAGATGTCTATGCTGGAAACAGCAGGACAAGTGCTTCTCAGAACTGGTTTCTGGGTTGTGAGGAGCTCTTCATTTCATGGGGGCAGTAATGCTGCTTGGCCGAACTTGGGTGTTTTAGCTAGTGGTTCATGTGTTATTTACACGCAGCTGAACATTTCACCAGCTTCCTATGCCCTGATTACAGAAGGTGTTTCAGCAGGAAATATTTAAGTTAGGCAGGTTGGACTGTATGAAGATTGTCAGTTTCTTGAATGAAAGAAGTGTGGGGATACACTTCCCTTAAAACTGTTCGGACTGAAAGAGAAATTTCTCTTTCGGAGACCTTTTAAATTCAAGCTTCCATAGAAGCAGCAGGACGGACTGTAGATGACCCATTTTATCCCCTTGGAAGAGCCTGTTAAATGAACCCGAAGAGTAAATATACAGAGGTTTCCTATAAAATTCTTATGATTCTCATTGTTGCTCTTCTTTGAGTAGTTGTGCAGCTCGGTTACATGGCCCTGAGTGATCAAGTGATGGTGTCTGCGAGGATATGTGTCTGAACATTTCACTTGCTCCTTTTTGTTTTGGACTGTTTTGAACATATATATATATAGTGAAATTTGTGTTTGTATGGCCCAGGTATGGGCAGAAAAAGGACCAGTTTTTGAGTCCTGTGTAGACTCAGGGACAAGATGATCGCCAAAGCTGGGCACTTAGGCTGTGGTAAAATATGTATGGTTTTCTGACCTCAGGAAATAGTTATGCTTACATTTAGTTCCATCTTGGCCTTTTGGAAAATAAATCCGGTATTCCGACACTGCTGGAAAGGAAATTTGCTTATGTTAAGCCTGATACTGATCAGGCACCAGACATTTCTTGCCCTGTGTATAGGCCCATGTCAAGGCCCCTAGATGAACTGATCTCTGATTTCCAACTTCATCAAAAGGACCTGATTTAGCCTAGTATTTTTCCTTAAAAAATACATTTCTGCCACATATGTGGTCTTAATAGCTAAGCTTGATGGCATTGCTCCTTTATATAGAGAGACAGGAGTGGTGGTTTAATTCTGTGAATGAAAGTTTGCAGGGAGACATTAGACCTGGCCATTTGTCTCATCTCTGTGTGCTATCACCAACTAGAATGTTTCATCCAGAGGCACAAACTGTGAAAACAGGAACTGAGCTTTACATTGCTGCTTAACAGGATGTCCATACTTTTACTTAATACTACCACTTATTTCTGTTCGATTTTACTTTTTTTTTTAGTGATTATAGAGAAACGCCTCTCTGTGTTCCTCATAATATTTGGTCACTAACACAGATATTAACCAATTGCAAACTATTTATAAAGCCTTCCTAAAAGCATGGAATTAATAGAACAGTAATTATGAGTGTTCCTAATTCTCACGTTACCTATACGATTTTACATGTATAAAAAAAGGTTAAAATTAATTATGTTAACCTTTACAGTATAATAAATTATATGCTAATATCATGTAATAACCTTTATAATATAAAGCTTTTAATTTTTATATTCCCATATTATCTGTAGGGTTTGTTATATGTATTTAGGGAGGTAAATAATAATTCAAAAATATGTAATTAAAAGTAGCTCACTCTTACTTCTTAGAGACCATTTTTTTGTGTATTTTTCTAGAAATACAGGCACATATATACACATATATTCATAATATATATACCCATGCATATATATACACATACGTTTATCCTTTTTAATACATGGAATATACCATACATACTGTTGTGAACCTTGATCACTTTTACATATTGTTAGTGCATCCATCATCTTTAAGCTCATATGGATCTACCTCACGCATTCTCTTGGCATATAGAATCCCATAATGAGACTGGAACAGTTCCCGAATGATGCTTCTTTATATTATATTAAATTTTTAGCTATTGCCAATATTCTTCTAATTGTCTATGTGTGCACATGTGCAAATTCACAAGTAGGATAAATTAATAAAAGTAAAATGTTTGAATCAAAGGTATTCCCACAGAATTTAAACAAATGCTAATTCTGATTTTAAATTTAAAGAGCATTTAAAATGTATTCTTTCTGCACATTCCTATCACAGTCTCACATGAGTAAGTCTTTTAACCATGCCCTGCTATATAAATCATTGGGAAAAGCAATTGTGTGTTAACATGTTTCCAGTTATTGCTTACAATTTCTATTTTTTGCTAGTTAAAATATTACCAGCTTCAAAACTTACCTCTTTGACTCCAGTAAAACCTGTTCTCCATTTTGATGGAAATGCAGTTTAGGAAGTGAAAGTGATTTGTAGCACCTAAGTGCGCCTGATGCCCAGTTGATGGCAGCAGCTTTCAGCACCTCACTAATATTTCCTCGAGTTAAAAGGTGCTTTAAGCTCTTCAGTGTCTGCCATGGACTAGTCTAGTCCCTCCCACAGGTACTGCCTTCTTGTCCTCCTGGTATTGCTATCAGCTCCCTTGCTTCACAGACTAGAGACCTGCTTAGTGTTTCCCTCTCTGGGAGTGTAGGTCCCAGCTTGTCTTCCTCTCCTCCCATCCTACTGCAGGTGTTTTTTTTTTTTTTTGTTTTTTTTTTTTCTTTTTCTTCTTCTTCTTCTTCTTCCAACAGGCAGCAGCAGTTGTTCCACAGTGGAAATTTAAGCATCCTCAAGTTTCTTCCCAGCTTTTGCTGTGTTTTCTTAGATTAAGTTGCCAATTTTTGTTTTTACAGGAAATCCTCTTTTTTTATGTAGTGAGTGTGCTCCCCATTCACTCTGCAAAAATGGCATTTTTCTCTACTTAGAAATGAAAATTTTACAAGTTTCGAAAATGTTTTCAAGTAGTAAATGTATAGTAGTTTTCCTTTGCCTGGGCATTGCTTAACATGTGTGAAATAACTTTATGAGAAATAATAAAATTCTAGCTTTATTGTTTGAATTTCAGTTCACAAGACTTTTTCTCAGCTAAATTCTTAACTTCCGTGATGAGACAAAAAGTGTGGGAGACGGTCCAATTTAAAAAAAACACACAACTCTACTTGAATAGCAGTAGTTATGCACAATTTATGATAGCCTTATTGTTTTAGTGCCCAAATAAGAAAATATAACAATTTCCTGTCGAAGGAAAAAATCCTCCTCCCAAATTTCCGATAGGATGGATTGAGAATTTATGTCCTGAATTTATGTCCTTGTTGCCTGGCTTATAAGTTTATAAGACCAGTTGTATTTCATATAGTTTGTCCCCTTGTGCATGATTCCTCTTGGCCTTTGTTTATTTGTTTATTTTTTTCCAGAGGTCTTGTTACCAGAAAAATACACACGGAACAGTTCACACACAGGGTAGATTATGTGACAGCAAACTCCAAGGGATTAATTACACAGAAGTCTGTTATTAAAGAACTTTAACAGGGAACACAGTAAAAGTTCTGTAGACTTTATAAAGTCCATTTTACTTTACAAAGAGAACTTTTAAGACTTCATCTCAAGTCAGAAAGGGTAATAATTAAATATGGTCACTAAATATGGAAAAAAGGCTCCTGCAGGGGTAAAGTTTGCTCTTGCATTTATTGAAAAGACTAAGCTAAAATATTGCAACACATTAAAATAGATATATTCCTAAATAGGAGGTTGCATCAATTCTATATTTTAAAGAAAAAGATGGCAAAAAATGTTTATTTATGTGACTCTATAACATTTAAGATATAGAGGTTGTTTATGAAAATGCCTAAGTTGTTGGTATTACGAATTAAAACATATGTGTACCTACAATGAGATGAGGTCAGGGCTGATGGACATGGAAATACAGACATCCCTCCAAGCTTATTCAGAATTTTAAAGGATATTGAAACATTCCTTTGCTGTCTTGTGTAGCAGATTCTTAAAAAGATTGTAGTACTATGCTAATGATTATAATCAAGCAAAATACCAAACAAATTATTAGGGTATTCATACACAGTTTGTTTGCATTTTCCTATAATAAACCAAACAGTGAACCTAACCAATCTGAATTTTAGCCTTAATTTTTAATGTACAAATAAGATTTTAAATGTTTTCTTAAAATAGAAATAAGCTATATGAATGTTTTTTCTAGAAAGTTACTCAACAAATGGGCCTATTTAAACACTTAGAATTTTTTTCCATGAAATTTTTTAAGAAAGCTGAAATCAATACTGTAA